CCTGAGCCATCAGTGGGAACTGAACTTGCATTAATTCCAGAAAGACCAAACAAAGGACATTCTCGATCTGTATTGACATGACCCCATTTGTGACATTTAATGCACCTCACATTTCGAACCTGAATACCAAGGGGCTGATCTCTGATGTTCATGTCATCTTTGGCATATTTTTCTCGTGAGGCCCCTTTTTGCCATTCAAATTTGTATTCGGTCTCTCCTTCTTTTTCTTCTTTCTCTTTGTTTTCTTCTTTAGCCCCTGGTGGAGCCTCATACATGAAATTAAGGCCATTCTTTACACGTTCATCTCCCATAAGCAATCTATTATCATATGATTCTTGCTCTTTAAGATATTGTTGCATTAATTCCTCTTGTTTCTTCTTATCATATGATATTTTCTGTTCTGCCATCCTTACTTTTTTGATGTTGGATTTGGAGGCAGCATGAAAGTCCTTCTTGCACATGAAACTGGCAAAGGATTTTCCCATTTTGGAGCCTGAGCTGGGGAAGGCAGCCGCTAGATCTCTCCCCTGAATTTTTTAACAGCTTTATTGAGGTATAATTCATGTGCCATACAATTCACACATTTAAATTGTACGTTTAAAGTGTACAATTTGATGTATGTTCACAATTTTTAGTATATTCACAGATATGTGCAACCATCACCACACTCAATTTTAGGACATTTTCATCACCCCAAAAGGAAGCCCTGCATCCCTTAGACCCTTAGAGGTCACCTCCCAACTCCCCCTCTCCCTGGCCCCAGACAACCACTGATCAGCTTTCTGTCTCTATGGATTTGCCTATTGTAGACATTTCATATGAATGGAATCATACAATATGTGGTTTTTTGGTAGCTGGCTTCATTCACTGAGCATAGTGTTTTGAAGGTTCATCCATGTAGCATGTCAGATCTTCACTTCTTTTTATTTCCAGAAATATTCCATTATGTGGGTAGACCATATCTTATTTATCCATTTATCAGTTGATGGACATTTAGGTGGGTTCTACTTTTTGGCTATTATGAGTATTGTTGCTGTGAACATTTGTGTACAAGTTTTCATGTAGATGTGTTTTCCTTTCCCTTGGGTATATTGCTAGGAGGGGCATTGCTGCATCATTTGGAAATACTCTGAGAAACTGTTGGAGAAACTGCAAAGCGGCTGTGCCCCATTTACATTCCCAGCTGCAGTGTGTGAGGGCTCCAGTTTCTCCACATTCTTGGTACACCAGTTATCATCTGTTTTTTTATTTTTTTTATGTGTCTTTTTCATGGCGGATGTGAAAAAGTACCTCCCTGTGCATTTAATTTTCATTTCCCTGAAGCTAATGACGTTGAGCATCTTTTCATGTGCTTATTGGTGGCCATTGGTATATCTTTAGAGAAATGTCTGTTCATATCTTTTGCCCATTTATAAATTGGGTTGTCTTTTTATAATTCAGTATAATAATTTATACATTCTAAATACAGTCCCTTATCCGATAGATGATTTGTAGATATTTTCTCCCACTCTGTAGGTTGTCTTTTCACTTTCTTGATAGTATCCTTTGAAGCACAAATTTTTTCATTTTAATGGAGTCCAGTTTATCTATTTCTTTTGTTGTTTGTCTTTTGGTATCATTGAGAAACCATTGCCTAATCCAAGGTCAGGAAGATTTACTTCTATGTTTTCTTCTAAGAGTTTTTTTTTTATAGTTTTATCTGTTATATTGAGGTCTTTGACTCATTTTAAGTTAATTTTGGTATATGATGTAAGGAGAGCTCCAACTTTCTTCTTTTGCATGTAAGTATTGTTTTCCTGGCACCAATTGTTGAAAAACTATTCTCTTCCCATTCAGTTGTCTTGGCACCCTTGTTGAAAATCAATTGATTGTAAATATGAGTTTATTTCTGGAGTCTAAAGCCTTGCATTGGACTATATGTCTCTATGCCAGTGCTGCTCTGTTGTCATCACTGTAGCTTTGTGGTAGAATTTGAAATAAGGAAGTACAAGTCCTCCAACTTTGTTCTTCTTTTTCAAGATTGCTGTTTGGGCTATTCTAGGTCTGTTTGCATTTCCTTATGAACTGTAGGATCAGCTTGTAAATTTCTTCAAAGGTAGAAGCTAGGATCTGTTAGGGGTCATGTTGAATCTGTAGATGAGCAGAGGAGCGTTGCCATCTTAAACCATGAGTCTTCTGACCCATGAGTATGTGATGTATTTCCATTTATTTAGGTCTTCTTTAATTTCTCTCAGCAATGCTTTGTAGTTTTCAGAGTTTAAGTTTTGCACTTCTTTTGTTAAATTTATTCCTAAGTAATTTATTCTTTTCGATGCTCTTGTAAATGGAATTGTCTTATTAATTGCATTTTTAGTTTGCTCATTGCCACTGTACTGAAATACAATGGATTTTTGTGTGTTGATCTTGTATCCTGCAAACTCGCTGCACTCATTTATTAGTTCCTGTAGATTTTTAGCAGATTCCTAGGGATTTTCTCAATACAGGATCATGTCATTTAATAGAGAAGTTTTGCTGCTTCCTTTCTGATGTGGATGCTGTTTAATTTTCTTAATTAATTGCTCTGCCCCCTGGTTTGGAGCTATTTCCATATTTTTCTTTTCTAACTTAACCATTTTTTGTGTTGTGATTTTTGTCATGTCTTACGTAAGTGCTGTTTATGTAGGAAAGATGCTGTGTTACATGTATGTTGCAAATACCCACACTCCCTTGTTCTGCTGTTAATTAGGAATCTTAAGCTCTGCGTCAGTCCTGTCTGTGGGTGCCCTCTCTATCTGTGGGTGTTGAGCAGGTCAGCCACCACTCCGGGCTTGGTTGCTCATGTTAAAATGACGATAATAACAATTTCTTCCCTGCTGTCCTCTGCAGATGATTGAGTGCTGCGTGAGGTCAGGAATTGGGGTCCTTCTTGACCAGATGTTTCTATCGGACCTGCGTTGCCGTTGTTAGTGTGACACTAATGACGGACATCTGCAGACAGGGAAGCCTGAATCCTCCCAGATGTGCAGTTTACATGGCAGCTGTGGCCCAGCGCACTTCCACCCCTACCACCCTCAGCGTGTCATCCAGCCTTGCTCTGCATCAGTTTCCCCATCTGTAAGATGGAGATGGATGATCTTCCTCATATGGCTGAAATACAGTGAAGTATCCATTAGGTGCCCAGCGTTGTTTGTGCTGTTCGAATGTCAGCCCCCCTCCCTGCTATAGGTACACAAACCACAAGGACCACTCAGGCTCACACTCCTCCCCCCAGCATTTCAGCCTGGTGAGGCACCCCCCAGGTTCTTGGTAGGGCAGAGCTAGGGGGAGCTTGGCCAATCCCAGCCAAACGCTGTCCCTCAGTGTCACTGCCCACAGTGAGGGTCAAGGAGCCTTAGCCTCCAAGGGCAGAATGCAAGACTGAGGCTGAAGCCTGGCTCTGCCACTGCCCTGTTAACACCCTTACCCTAAGTGGGGTAGGGCCAATGGGGCCATGCAAGGCGTGGCTTGACCTCATTGAGCCTCAGTTTCCCCTCTGGACAGGGCTGGTTGTGCACAGACGTGTGAAGCACTATCATGGGGTGTGTGAGTACATGTGTTTGGCCCTCCTGAGTGACAGCTGCTGCCCTTGGGCAGTTCCGGGTGTCCTCTGTCCCCACAGCCTATGTGAAATGGGGTACCATGCATTCCACAGTGGATCCCCCTCATGGGTGCTTCCAGGTGGATGTGGATTTTGGAGGACTCTCCAGCCCACTACAGATATTCTGGGTATATATTTTGAAAACAGAGCCCACAAAGTTTGCTGGTGAATTGGTTGTGGATTGAGAAAAAGAGTCCAGGTAGGTTCCAAGTTTGGGGGCTGGAGCAAGTAAAGGATGGAGGGCATAGTGGCTAACATCAGAGTTAGAATGGGGCAGGCCAAGTGACGAGCAGGTTGGCCAGTGCACGAGCTTGGCTGGATGTGGCAGGCCGAGTGGGCTTTTGGACATCTGTGCCTGGTGCCCAGGGGACAGTCCTAGCTGGAGGTATCCCATGGAGGACAGGGGAAGGGTTGTCTTGGGTTGGTGTGGAATAATGGGGTCCTTAGCCTGGGCAGTGCCAGCCTCTGTCTGAATCCCCACCACTGCTCCCACCTAGGCCTCGGATGTGTGGAGGGAGTTGGACACAGACGCTACCTCTGGTCAGTCTCCCTTTTGTCTGACACTAACTGCTTTATACACTAGTAGTATACAGTGCTCAAAATCAGAAAGTTCCAGAAGAGCAGGAGGAAGAGCCTCTTGCACTCAGGCACCAGGAGGTGTGCTCCAGAACATCGGTAGCAGCTTCATTCCATATTCTTGAACACCGGAAACAACTCACACACCCATCAGCAGGA